CCAGATCCGCAGGCAGCTCTGGGCTGCATTTCCCCTCCGGCGCGAAGAGGAGCTGGGGTGTCCGGGGTTCACTCCTCGCTGACACCGACCCCCCGAGAGCCTCAGCGGCACGTCGGGCCCCGCGGGGAGGTGAGCCGGTGCCGGGGGGTGCGGGGGGCCCGGGGGTAGGCGGAGGGTTGGGCTGGGGGTGGAGGGGACGAAGGGATGGATGGAGGGATGGGAGGATGGAGGGGAGGGAGGGATGGATGTGGGGATGGCAGGGAGGGCAGCGCCGGGGGGGCGCCGGGCGCGCTGCGGGGCTGGGCGTGGGGCGGGGGGGTCCCCGGTTCCCGTAACCCCACCGCGAGCTCCCAGCGCTATAAAAGCCCCGCAGCCGCTCCCGCCGCCTCCCTCGCGTTGATCCCCGCGGGGAGGCAGCGCCGGGGCGCAACAGGGCCCCCCCGGCCCGGCCAGGCGTGAACCCCCGGGGAGGGAGAGCGGGAGGGGAGGAGGAGAAGGCGCATCCATCCCCCCCTTCTCTCCACCGCTAACCGGGTCCGAGCCCCCCCCGGCCGCCGCCTCCTCGCCGAGCCCGGCCCGGGGGGGCGGAGGGAGCGCGGAGCCGCCGGAGCGGGAGGGGCGGGCGGCGGGGCCCCCCCGCGCCGGGCGCTGCAGGTACCGGGAGAGGGGGGGACAGAGCGCCCGGCCGGGCTCGGCATCCCCCCAGCCCTTCCCCAGCATCCTCCCGGCCGGGCCCGCATCCCCCCCGGCTGCCGCACCCCCCCGCCCGCTGCTGGCCCCTCCATCCCGCACTTGTTGCTGCCCGGCGGGGCTGGGCCGGCTCCCGGTTTAGGGCGGTTTTATTTTGGGGGGGGTGGCTTTGGAGGGGGTGGAGGTTGCAGCCTCCCCTGCTGTCCCCCGGCTGCCAGCGGTGTCCGGCGCGGCTCCGGCTTGCTCCCCCCGAGGCCAGAGCCAAGGCTGAGCCCCCCCTTTTCCCCTCCCCAGTCCCGTCTCCGTCCTCCCCTCCCGCCTTGGCCGAGCCCCAGCTCCTCGCCCGGAGGAAGGGTGCACGTTGTGGGCATCTCCCATCCACCGAAATCTATGATCAGCTCGGTGTGTGTCTCCTCCTACCGTGGACGCAAGTCTGGGAACAAACCACCCTCCAAAACATGCCTGAAGGAAGAGATGGGCAAAGGGGAAGAGTCGGACAAGATCACCATCAATGTGGGCGGCACCCGGCATGAGACCTACAAGAGCACCCTGCGGACTCTGCCGGGCACCCGCCTGGCCTGGCTGGCCGACCCCGACGCCCAGAGCAACTTTGACTTTGATGGCAAAAGCAACGAGTTCTTCTTCGACCGGCACCCCGGCATCTTCTCCTACGTGCTCAACTACTACCGCACGGGGAAGCTGCACTGCCCCGCGGACATCTGCGGGCCCCTCTTCGAGGAGGAGCTCACCTACTGGGGCATCGACGAGACCGACGTGGAGCCCTGCTGCTGGATGACCTACAGGCAGCACCGCGACGCCGAGGAGGCCCTGGACATCTTTGAGAGTCCCGAGCCTGGCGGAGGGGCTGCTGGAGAGGAGGCTGAAGAGGAAGGGGGTAGGGAGATGGCCCTGCAGCGCCTGGGCATGGATGACAGGCCCCCAGGGGCGGCAGGGGCGGCCGGAGGGGGTGGATGCTGCAGGAACTGGCAGCCCAAGATGTGGGCGCTCTTTGAGGATCCCTACTCGTCCAAGGCGGCAAGGGTAAGCTCCTGGAAGGTGCTGGTGGGGAGGTGGGATGGATGGGGCCGTGCTGGGGTTGTGTCTTCGCCTCCCCATCCCCAAAGGCAAGGCTGGCTTTCCTGGTGGGTTACATGAGGCCCTCCCATTACTGTCCCACTCCTGCTGTGGGGCACGTGAGCCACGTCCCACCCTACAGGACACCTCTTCCATTGTCTCCCAATGACCTCCCAACGCATCACATCTGGGCTGAAACTGGGGGCAAGCAAAATCCCTGCCCCCTTTGCACCCTCAAGCACTCCCTGGGCACCTCCTGGGCACTCAGAGATGAGGGATTGTCCTTGGCAGGGCTGGCTCCTGGCAGAGTTTCAGGATGCTCTAGGATAGGATGTTTGGGTTGCTCCTGCTGGGCTGCACCATGCCAAAACCTGCATTGAACAGCCCAGGTGTGGAGTGGAGGTCGGGGCTGGGGGTCAGGTCCTGCACTGACAGGATCCTCATGGTTGTCCCCAAGCAGCTCATGCTCCTCACTTGTAGGGCCACAGCCCCAAAGGACACCCTGTGCCCCTGTACCCCGCTGTCCCCACCAGGGCCACCCCCGTGGCTCACAGAACCCATCAGGCACCGCTGACACCCCACACACCCCACCAGGGTCCCACAGCCCCCTCACCACACATGGCCCTGGCACCGTGTGTGTGCACATGGGAGCTCATCCACACACCAGAGACACCCCCGCCCTCCCTGGGCACCCAGGCTGTCCCTCCCCACCAACGTGCCCGGGACATGTCCCCCAAAACCCACACCCCAGACCTTCCCTGGGCATGCAGGCTGTCCCTCCCCATGAGCACCAATGTGCCCAGGACAGGATGTGTCCCCCAAAACCCAGACCCCCCACCCTCCCTGGGCATGCAGGCTGTCCCTCCCCATGGGCACTGACATGCCCAGGATGTGTCCCCCAAAACCCAAACCCCCCACCATCCCTGGGCACACAGGCTGTCCCTCCATATGAGCACCAATGTGCCCAGGAGGTGTCCCCCAAAATCCAAACCCCAGACCCTCCCTGGGCATGCAGGCTGTCCCTCCATATGAGCACCAACGTGCCCAGGACATGTCCCCCAAACCCCAGAGTGTCTGCAGGCTCCCAGCCCGGTGCTCAGGCGCTGCTCTGCGCATGTTTCTCCTCTCCCAGCTCCTCGTAGATCATTCCCAAAGCTCTGCCCCGACCCCCCAGTACCCACCCAGCCCCTGGCACGCCCAGCTTATAAATCTGCCACACACACCCAGGCAGGCAGTTGGGATGGAGATGAATTCTGGATGCATTTAGAGGTGTAAAAAAACTCCATCAATGGTAAGAAATTCTGCAGGCATTTCACACCCACGAGCAGCACGCAGGGCAGGGGTCAGTTTGGCAAGGAGGTGTTTTTGCAGCAAATGTTAGAGCAACACACACACATGCAGAGAATGCTTGGGCAGCAAGAGCTGAACCCATTTTAAAAGGGTACCCCCTCCTCTGCCCATCTCTGAGGGTTCTTCACCTTGGAGAGATGCTCTGAGTGGTGTAAAGCTCCAAATAAAAAATTAAACAAAATTAAAAATAAACCTAGGCACAATAATTCAACTCCTTTTTTTCCCCCTGGTGTCATTTGGTTCTGCTTTTCCTGTGTGCTGAGCTGATCCTGGAAAGGCTTTAGCAGGAGGAATGTGCTGGAGGGAGCAGAGATGGTGGTGATTGAGGCCCAGCTGGGGCTGGAGCGGGACCAGTTTGCACTGGGATCTCCCTGCTTCCTTCTCACTGCTCTACATAAATGTTCAGCTCAGCAGTGCCATGGGAACGATCAACTTCCAGAGGGAACAGGAAAAAATACCAGTGTAGTTTTACCACAGCTTAGGAGAACTGCTCTGGCAAGAGGGGAAACTGAGGCACAGAGCACGGCAACCAGCCCAAATTGCTGAGTGCACCCAGTTCCTGGCAGGAGCCACCATCCAGCACCAGAATGCTGCAGGATTCCTGTGGGTACAGCATTCCTGGTGCTGCCCTGCCTTTGTTGGTGGGTGAGGTTTGCAGTGGTTGGGATTTCTTTGATACCCTATTTTGGGGTCTCCCCCTTTCTTGCCAGAGCCCCAGAGGTGCTGCTGGCTGCAGGGAACGTGCTGGAGCAGCTGGAGTTGCCAAACCTTGGGAAGCAGCAGTCCCAGGCTGTCCATGTAAACTCTCCCTGTCTGTGTGGCAGCCATGACTAAGAGTCTCCAGAGCTGAATTTCTCCGGTCGGTCGTTGCTCCTCCTCTCTATGGAGCAGCCCCTCGGGCCCTGACTCAGTTGGCTCCTCGTTATTTCCATCTTTCCCTCCCTCCAGCACTTCTCCTCCTGAGCTGGCAGCACTGTGAGCGTGTGGTTGGAAATCTCTGCCATGTTTCAGCCTCTTCTCCGTGCACCATCGATGGCCACGGGGTCCCTGGCTCCTCACTCAGGAAATGTTTGGTCCCTGGTGCAGCTGCTGTCCCAGCTGGAGCTTTACACTTCTCTTCCCCATGGGAAACTGCCCTGGCTGGGATTTTACCTCCATGTCCAAACTCTCCTTACATGCAGCTCCTCATTGGTTTTTCCCTTTGCAGCCCAACTTGGAGAGTCCTGACCTCACTTTCATGGGGACTTTCAGGCTGGTGACCCTCTGCAGGGTCATGGATTTTTTGGTGACACCTATGGCAAGCTGTTGAGTGCAGGTCAATATTGTGTAGAACATCAGCAGGTTCTGGAGGACTTGTTTGGTGTGTATTGGTAGTATTGGGTTTATACACAGAGTTTATTTTATTTTGAAGACAGTTTTGCAAAAGGGCTTGAGTTTGGAGCAGAGACTGAGGCTGAGGTGAGACATCTTGGGTCAGACACAGAACTGGAGCAGCACTGGTCAATATTGTGTAGAACATCAGCAGGTTCTGGAGGACTTGTTTGGTGTGTATTTGGTTTATATATAGATTTGATTTTATTTTATTTTAAAGGCAGTTTTGGAAAAGGACGTGAGTTTGGAGCAGAGACTGAGGCTGAGGTGAGACATCTTGGGTCAGACACAGAACTGGAGCAGCACTCTGGGGGGACACGATGGTTGGCACTGGCTGTGAACCCAACTTCTATTTTTAAAGGCTGATTTTGCTCCTTGGGCTAAATCAGGTCTCACCTCACACCCAGCAGCAGGGCTGCTTCATTACTCAAGTGTTTGCATGGTCTCCCTCCCTTCCTGGGTGATTTTTTTTTTCTTTTCTACTTTGCTTTAAGTCTAAATTTTTACTCTTCAGGTTTTCCCAAGATCCCCCATACAGGGAAGCTCAGGAACGTGACTCAGCCCTCAGCTGAAAAGCAGATTATTTTGGCTGTGCCACCACTGTGTAGAGACACTTGTCTGCTTAAGCTGGCCTTGCTTTAAGATCCCAATTTTGCTGGATTTGTTTGTTGGACACGACAGGTCAGCCCTCAGAGCTGAATCCCCATGCACAATCCAGAGGGGTCTGACTGAGGGGTGAGAGCATCTCACTGCATCCCCGGGCAGGTGTCTCTCACTGGGGCAGGAGAACCATCTTCCAGAGGTTTCTCCATCATTTAACGCCAGATTTAAACTTCACACCAAACTCCTGCAGGGCTGGTGCTCTCCCGTGTGGCTCTGCCCTTGGGGACAGCCCCAAGGGCGCTCCTGGCAGGCTCGGGGCTGCCGCAGGGCACCGCCGCTCTCGGGGGTCGGGTGTTCCTCCAGCGTGACTCAGGCTGTCTCTGCTGCTGATTCACTCCGGCCGAGGATCCGGGCTGTGCCTGGAGCAGCCTCACGGTGCTGCTCCTCCAGGAGCGGCCGCTTGGGTGGCTCTGACAGCAAAAGGTCACGTCCAGCAAAGGGGCTGCGGCAGGACCTGCTCTGGGGGAGCTGAAACCACCGTGCTTTTGTGCTGCAGGGAGGTAGAACAAGAGTTTTTCTGCTCTGAAGCTGTGTGGTGGTGTTCACAGGGACAAGGGAAGAGATGAGAATCTTGACTCCATGTTTCAGATTTATTATTTTATGATATATATTATATTGAGAGAAAATGATATATTATAACTATACTAAAGAAAGGATTTCATCAGAAGGCTAGCAAGGAATGAAAAAGAATGATAATAAAATCTTGTGACTGCTCACAGCCTCGACACAGGTGGCTGTTGTTGGTCATCAAGTAAAACAAATTTCACACGCTGGGTAAACAATTCTCCTGATCACATTCCAAAGCAGCAAAACATGGAGAAGCTGAAGCTTCCCAGCTTCTTGGAGAAAAGATCCTGGCAAAAGGATTTTTCATAAAATATCATGGTGACAAAACTGGGATTTTTTTTGGGGCGGGGGGTCGCTTTTGGAAACATGCTCCAGGTAATGGGCTCGCCGTGAGGGAGGGTGGGAGCTGAGCAGGACTGATGGGAGCACCAGGGGGAACTTTGTGACACAGCCTGTGACTTCCAGTGTGTGCTGCTGGCCCCTCCTCACCCACATCTGAGGCGAGGAGAAGGGAGGAGGAGGAGGTGACATGGAGGGGACAATGATCTCCCTGCTTGGGCAGAGCAGGGAACATCTGGGTGTCACCAGGTCCAGGCAGCAGCAGGAGGCTGAGCCCTGCCTGCTCCTCCCCTGGTCCTGGATCTTCTGTGGACACACCACCCACCAGTGACCCTCAGGGAGGGGGTGAATGATGTCTCTGACACATGCAGACCCCAAAGCTCATGGCTGTGAACAGTGTGAACCTGGCATCTGGAGGGGGTTGTGTTCAAAGGGAAAGCCCTTTGAATCTGTCCTGTCAAAACTCCCTTTTCATGTCTGTTCCCATTGGAAGATTGCTCCAGTCCCAGACTGTCCCAGTTCCCCCTCAGTCCCACCACTGCACAGCTGGGGAGCCCAGCACACCTTCTCCTGCACAGATCAGAGCACTTGGAGAAGGTCCTGGACTGATGGCTCCAGGCACTGAGGTTTGCTGTCAACCCATGGGAGAGGTCCAGGAATGCCTCCTCATTCTCCAGCCTTGGTCTTGGGGCAGTGGGTGGCAGCACCTGGAGTGTTTTGACCTCCTCCAGACAGGACAGGTTGCCCCACATAACCCATAGGAGAGGTCCAGGAATCTCTCCTCATTCTCCTCCCTTGGTCTTGGGGCAGTGGCTGGCAGCACCTGGAGTGTTTTGACCTCCTCCAAACAGAAGAAGTTTCCCCACATCAGCTCACAGCCCGTGTAACTTTGATTTTCACAGGTGGTTGCTTTCGCCTCGCTTTTCTTCATCCTGGTCTCCATCACAACCTTCTGCCTGGAGACACACGAGGCCTTCAACATCGACGTCAACGTGACGGAGACCCTGGTGGTGGGCAACACCACCACAGTGCTGCTGACCCACAAGGTGGAGACGGAGCCCATCCTCACCTACATCGAAGGGGTCTGCGTGCTGTGGTTCACCCTCGAGTTCCTGGTTCGCATCATCTGCTGCCCAGACAAGCTTCTCTTCATTAAAAACCTGCTCAACATCATTGACTTCGTGGCCATCTTGCCCTTCTACCTGGAGGTGGGTCTCAGTGGCCTGTCCTCCAAAGCCGCCCGGGACGTGCTGGGTTTCCTGCGGGTCGTTCGCTTCGTGCGCATCCTGCGGATCTTCAAGCTGACGCGGCACTTTGTGGGTCTGCGGGTGCTGGGTCACACTCTGCGGGCCAGCACCAACGAATTCCTGCTCCTCATCATCTTCCTCGCCTTGGGGGTCTTGATTTTCGCCACCATGATCTACTACGCCGAGCGGATCGGAGCCAAGACGTCCGACCCCACCGGCAGCGACCACACTCACTTTAAGAACATCCCCATCGGCTTCTGGTGGGCCGTGGTCACCATGACCACCCTGGGCTATGGTGACATGTACCCCAAGACCTGGTCGGGGATGGTGGTGGGCGCCCTGTGTGCGCTGGCCGGGGTGCTGACCATCGCCATGCCCGTGCCCGTCATCGTCAATAACTTTGGGATGTATTATTCCTTGGCCATGGCCAAGCAGAAGCTGCCAAAGAAGAAGAAAAAGCATATACCCCGTCCAGCCCCACTGGACTCCCCCACCTACGGCAAATCCGAGGAGAACTCGCCCCGGAACAGCACCCAGAGTGACACTTGCCCACTGGCAGTAGAGGAGGGGGTGACTGAGAGGAAACGGTCAGGTGAGACCCCAAAGGTGGGGCTGAGGGAGGGGGAGACCTCTGGGAGCTCTCAGGGCAGTTTTTTGGTCCCTGTGTCCCTGAGGATGGTGCAGGTGTGACCCCCAGCTCTGGGTGGGGCCTCTCAGGTGTGAGGGTGCTTGGGGAACAGGGCACTGCAGGTTGAATCCCCCATCCAGGCAGGGGGGAAGGCCACCTGCTTTTCCCAAAAGCCATATCCTTCCCTCCTGATGGCACAGATCAAGTCACTGTGGTGGCCTTCAAGGCATCCCTGCCTAACCCACCCCTCCCTCACAGTGACAGAGGTAAGGCCACTCACCCTACTCTCATGTTAGCCTGGTCATGCCCTTGGCACAGATTTTTCCTTTGCTTCCTCCCACCATAAATCAGGGTAACCTTCACCAAAATTGATAAATCCATGGACATTCCCTGGGGCTTGACCCCACCTCCTCATTCATCTGCTGGTCGACAGAATCCCTGCGGTGCTGCTTCAAATCCTCAGCAAAACCAGACCCTGGACATTTCTCTTTTTTTGGTCACATGCACTGAGCTGAAGTTTGGGGGTTGGCCAGTCTTTCCTTAGGCTCAGCAGAAGGCACAGCCCCAGCTGTGGGCAGCTGTGGGGACCATCCCTTGGCTACCTTTGGAGGTCCGTGCAAGCCCTGCCCCACTGTCAGTGCTGGCCATGGTGGCTGCTCTGCCCCCTTTGTCTTGCTGTGCTGCCAGTGGCACCTCTGGGGTGTCTGGAACAGGAGGCACCATGGTGGGGTTGTGTTCTGCACCAACACTGAGGTGTTTAACAGTGCTGGGGCTTCCCCTGCTGAGGAAACAGGGAGCTCTGGGTGCCCCAAACAGCTCTTTCCCTTTATAAATCTCCTTTTCCCACAGGCCTGTGAATCCCATCTGCCCCAGGAGCCCTGGCAGCAGGGAGCAGTCAGAGCCAGGAGCCCAGGCCAGGCCCTCACGTGGCAGAGCATCCTCTCAGCCAAGGAACCAGGGAGCCAGGGGACATAAATTAGCACTTCCCACCACCCCGAGCAGCCCGTTCCTCAGCAGTGTGAATTTTGGAGAGCTAATTCCCTCCAATTAGGGTGGGTGGATCTCACAAAACCTGGGGTGTTTCATCCCCAGCAGGTTTTATAACCCTCAGCAGGACTGGAGCTGCCTGGAATCATATCTGTGTTTGTCCTGTGTGCCCGTGTTCAAAGGGGTCCCAGGATGAGGGAAGAGACAAGGATCTGACTCCATGTTTCAGCAGGCTTGATTTATTATTTTATGATATATATTATATTAAAACTATACTAAAAGAATAGAAGAAAGGATTTCATCAGAAGGCTGGCTAAGAATAGAAAAAGAAGGAATGATAACAAAAGCTTGTGTCTCGGACAGAGAGTCTGAGCTGGGCTGTGATTGGCCATTAATTAGAAACAACCACATGAGACCAATCCCAGATGCACCTGTTGCATTCCACAGCAGCAGATAACCATTGTTTCCATTTTATTCCTGAGGCCTCTCAGCTTCTCAGGAGGAAAACTCCTAAGGAAAGGATTTTCCATATAAGATGTCTGCGACAGGGGAGGGTCTTCTCTTCAGTGGTCCCCAAATGACGATCGTGAGGCAGATGAGGGAAAATTCAGACAGACTCTCACAGTTTGCCAGCTGCTGATGGGTCTGTGGCACCTCCCTCCCTGCAGACTCCAAGCAGAACGGGGAGGCCAACGTGGTGCTGTCGGACGAGGAGCAGCCGCTGTCCCCGGCGGACGAGGAGCAGCGGCCGATGCGGCGCTCCAGCACCCGGGACAAGAACAAGAAATCCTCCACGTGCTTCCTGCTGGCCACGGGGGACTTCTCCTGTGCAGCAGATGGAGGCATCCAGAAAGGTAAAACGGGTGGAGGAGTGAGCAGGACATGTGGAGGTTGAGTGTAGGTTTGTTGGGCTGACCCAAGACTGGTTCATCTCCATCCACCTGCCTGGCTGTCCTCTGCTCCCCAAACCCACATCTTCCTGCCCCTCCATCTGCTTCACCTCCATCCAACACATCTCTCCATGCTGGCTCCACATTTTGTGTTCTCCTCCTCAGTGTTCTCCCCCTCAGTCACCCCCGTCTCAGGTCTGTGACCTCCATTTGGGGTCTGTGACCTCCATTTGGGGTCTGTGACTCCCATTTGAGGTCTGTGACCCCTGTTTGAGATCTGTGACCTTCATTTGGGGTCTGTGACCCCTGTGACCCCCTCAAACCCCTGTTTGAGGTCGGTGACTCTCATTTGGGGTCTGTGACTCTCATTTGAGGTTTGTGACTCCCATTTGGGGTCTGTGACCTCCATTTGGGCTCTGTGAACCCGGTTTTGGGTCTGCGACTCCCATTTGGGGTCTGTGACTCCTGTCTGGGATCTGTGACTCCCATTTGGGGTCTGTGATTCCCCTTTGGGGTCAGTGACCCTGTGCTGGCTGCACTGCCCTCCCTGGGGGTGCAGTGCTCCAACCTCTGCCTCTCCAGCTCTTCTCCTTGGGTTTCAACCCCTCATTTCTGGATGGTGTGAGTGGGACATCTCTCCTGGGGACATGGTGAGGTTGTGACTGAAGGTGACCAAAAGGTTTTCAGTAGGATAAAAAAGCAAAAAACCCAGAGTCTTTTCCCCTGCTCTCCCCTGTGGTGGCTTTTGGTGGGTTCGAGCGTGGGGAGCTGAGATGTGTCAGTGCTGCCTTGCCAGCAGCTCTGGGCTGCCAGAAAGGCTCCTCTGGGCTTGGAACAGGAGCTGTGCTAAGTGTTGAGGTTTTCCATGGGAAACTGAGGGGGAGATGAGTCAGGAAAACACAAAACTCTTCTTCCCATGACAAAACAAAATCTTCTTCAACCTGGTCTGTAGGAGCGTCGGGGAGATGGATGGAGAGGGGAGATCTCTGCAGCCAGGGCCTGGAATTTGTGGGTTATTGCAAAGGGCCAAGTGCAGGGACCTGCTGGGAGCTGCCAGCCACAGCTGGAGCAGGACTGAGAGAAGAGAGGGGGAGAGAGGATGAGAGAGAGAGAGAGAGAGAGAGAGAGAGAGTAAGGGAGTAAAAAGGTAAGAGAGTAAACGGGCAAGAGAGCAAGGTTCCTGTTACAATACCATAAATCTTCTGTGTTGAATATTCTAATTCTCACTAACCAATCTAGTACAAGATACAAATCCTATGGCATTTACATACAGCCTGTAAGAATCATTACATTACTACACTGTGTTACATTTTAAACCCTAAAATCTCCTCTTTGGGCCCCTTCTGCCAAGCTGTAGGGTCTGCTCTGACCCTTGGGCCTGTCTGCAAGCAGAGGGTGTTGTTCCATCAAAAGGGGATCACCTTCAGTGGCCACACCATTGTTTTCCAGTTGTTCAGTAACTGAGGGATCTCAAAGCTTGCTTTCATTCCAATCTCGTATATAATTTCTATATTCTCAAAATCTTTTGCCAAGCAATCATATTTATAAGGCTTTCATCTTCCCCAACACTGGTCTCAGAGTTCTCTGCTCCTTTGCCCATCCCTCAGCACTCCAGCCCCAGAAAGGGTAAATCCAGCCCCAAAACCCAGCTGCACCCTGGATTGCTGGGATAACTCCTAGGGCACAGCTCAGTTTCCCAGTTGTGCAGGGTTTTGTGTGTCCAGGGTGGTGTGGGATGCTGTAGCTGCAGAGCTGACCTACTTCTACCTCCCTGGAACCAAGTGCTGCCCGTTGCTCCCAGGGAGCTGGGACCAGGCAGGAGCAGGGATGATGTGCTGCATCTCTGAGCTGCTCCCCAGGACCTCTTGGTGCTTTGGAGAGCCTCAAGGGTTTGTTACTTTTGATGGGACACAGGGAGGTGTTTGGGTGCAATCACATTTATCAGTAGTAGGAGCAAGTTGGTTGTTTCCTCCTGGGAAATCAAAGATTCCCTTTGGCATTGCTGCTCAGCCTCAGAAAGAGGACAAAGAGGAACAGCTCTGCTCATCCTTGGGGTGCCATCAAATATCTGCTTGAAATGCCTGATGTTTTTTCCCTGGAAGTGACTTTTCCTGTGAGGTTGGTCCTGTTAATGTGGAGAGGGGAGAGAGGTTTAGTCCCACTCCAGACTGGGAGGGGGAATGCTGAGCTGGAGGGATGGAGGAGACAGATGAAAGCCAGAGCTGATTTTCCTCCTCAGCAAATGCTGAAGCCCAGCTTCAGCTGAGGCATTTGAATCTGGTCCCACTGAAGCCAGGAGAAGTGGAGCAGCTCTGAGAGTTGAGGATCCAGAGCTGCTTTCACTCACTCCCAAATCCCAGGAGATTTCTGTCCTTGTGTGGTGGCACAGCAGCTCTTTGAAAGGGCACTGTGGTGATGCTTCTTGGGGTGTTCTGGGGTCTCCCCTGAAAATTTCAGAGTGCCTTTTACACTTCAGAACAGAAGCTGTGCACAGGTCACTCATCCCCACGTTGCTGGAATGATGCTGCACCTGGAGAAGGCTGAATCTGGTGTCCAGAGGGCTCCAGAGGTGCTTGAGACCTTTTGGGAAGGGGAACCTCAGTGCCCATGTCCTGCTTGGGTGTGGGACAGATGGTGGGAGGCTGTCCTGGGAGGTCAGGGCTGGCCTTGGGTGACCAGAGGTGTCCAGAGATGATCAGAGATGGCCAGAGGTGACCAGAGATGGTCAGAGGTGACCAGAGGTGACCAGAGATGACCAGAGGTGACCAGAGATTACCAGAGATGGCCAGAGGTGATCAGAGATGGCCAGAGATGATCAGAGATGGCCAGAGATGACCAGAGATGGTCAGAGGTGACCAGAGGTGACCAGAGATTACCAGAGATGGTCAGAGGTGACCAGATATGGCCAGAGGTTACCAGAGGTGTCCAGGGGTGACCAGAGATGACCAGAGGTGACCAGAGATGGCCAGAGATGGCCAGAGGTGACCAGAGATGGCCAGAGGTGGCCAGAGGTGACCAGAGATGGCCAGAGATGGCCAGAGGTGACCAGAGATGGCCAGAGATGGCCAGAGGTGACCAGAGGTGACCAGAGATGACCAGGGGGTGAAGCAGCCTCCAGCCAAAATCCGTTGGGAGCCGCAGAGGCGCCTCTTGCCTTGGTCCTGATTTATCTCCTGCTGAGGCTGTTTGTTCTGGTACTGGGATGTTGGCAGCTCTGCAAATTGAGATGAGCTTGGTTCTGAGCCCGACTCTCTGATGGCCATCTGTCAGATCCTGGGACAGGTACTGGTGTCTGTGCAAGCTGTGGAAATCAGGGGAGGGAGCTGCTTTGGGAATGAGCTGCAGATCTCAGCATCCATCGTGGTTTAACCCCAACTCTGGGTTGGTCTTGTTGGGGCAGCTCAGAGAGGAGCTGCTCCTGCCCTTGGACCTGAGCCTGGAGCAGATTGAGCTGTGGATTCCTGTGTGGAATGTGTTTCTTGCTCCTGTAGCTGCCTGCAGTGGTGTTGCTCTGCTCCCTGGCTGCCAGGGATGGCTTCAGAGCCTTTATCTCCCCTCAGCACTGGGGTCCTGCTCAGCCCTTCCCAAAAACATGTCCTGCTGGCTCAGACACCTGCCATGGGGCTGCCTTGGCATGAGAGCCCTGTCCTCTGCTTGGATGGAGGGACATGGAGGCAGGGAGAGTCCAGCCAGTGAGACTGGTGAGGGTGGAACCATGGAATCACCTGGGCTGGAAAAGAGCTCTACGAGTCCAACCTTCCCCCAGCACCTGGCCACTAACCCATGGCCCCAAGTGCCACATCTGTGTGTGTCTTAAAACACTCCAGCTCCTTTATCAGCACATTAACACGGCACAGCAGCAAATTTTGGCTCTGTAGAGCATGGTGCAGCTGATTTTCACTGTTGGTGTCAGTGCAGGGCTGTGAGTCCCACATGGCTTGAGCATGTGGGATGGGATCAAGCTGGGAACACTCATGGGAGCCTCCCCTGGAGTTGCCTGGCTGGGGGAGACTGAGGACCAGCCAATATTTGCATAGGGACATGACCCCACAGGATCTGTGTGCCAGGCCTCTGTCCCAGCCCCACAGGAGCTGTGTGCCAGGCCTCTGTCTGTCCCCAACCCCACAGGATCTGTGTGCCAGGCCTCTGTCTGTCCAGCCCCACAGGATCTGTGTGCTAGGCCTCTGTCCCAACCCCACAGGATCTGTGTGCCAGGCCTCTGTCTGTCCAACCCCACAGGAGCTGAGTGCCAGGCCCTGTCCCCAACCCCACAGGAGCTGAGTGCCAAGCCTCTGTCTGTCCCCAACCCCACAGGAGCTGAGTGCCAGGCCTCTCTCTGTCCCCAACCCCACAGGAGCTGAGTGCCAGGCCTCTGTCCCAACCCCACAGGATCTCTGTACCAGGCCTCTGTCTGTCCAACCCCACAGGATCTGTCTGCCAGCCCTCTGTCTGTCCCCAACCCCACAGGAGCTGAGTGCCAGGCCTCTGTCTGTCCCAGCCCCACAGGATCTGTGTGCTAGGCCTCTGTCTGTCCCAGCCCCACAGGATCTGTGTGCCAGGCCTCTGTCTGTCCCAGCCCCACAGGGTCTGTGTGCCAGGCCTCTGTCTGTCCCCAACCCCACAGGGTCTGTGTGCCAGGCCTCTGTCTGTCCCAGCCCCACAGGATCTGTGTGCCAGGCCCCTGTCCCCAGCAGCAGCAGCTCCCTGGGCTTTGCTGCCTCCCTGCTCTACCCCATCCCTCTGGCACAGCTCCCAGCCTGTGCCTGTGTGAGCACTCAGAGCCTGCAGGGAGCCCTGGGGTCACCCAGCACTCTTTTATTGGCAGCAAACCCATTCCTAAAGTTCCTAGAACAATTCCAGGGACTCTGGGTAGCCCCAGGGTGAGTTACTGGGGCACCAGCTCTGTTTATCAGCTGTGGCAATCAGCAGAGCACAACCCCCTTGTCCAGTTGTGGCACAGCAGCAATTTTTGGCTCTGTAGAGCATGGTGCAGCTGATTTTCATTTTGTTTCTTGCTGTCAGTCCAGGGCCGTGACACTCACATGGGTGGGACCTGCAGGATGGGATCAAGCTGGGAATGGGAGCATCCCCTGAAGTTGCCTGGCTGGGGGGCACTGAGGACCAGCCAACATTTGCACAGGGACACGACCCCACAGGAGCTGAGTGCCAGGCCTCTGTCTGTCCCAACCCCACAGGATCTGTGTGCCAGGCCTCTGTCTGTCCAACCCCACAGGATCTGTGTGCCAGGCCTCTGTCCCAGCCCCACAGGAGCTGAGTGTCAGGCCTCTGTCTGTCCCCAGCCCCACAGGAGCTGAGTGCCAGGCCTCTGTCTGTCCCCAGCCCCACAGGAGCTGAGTGCCAGGCCTCTGTCCCAACCCCACAGGAGCTGAGTGCCAGGCCTCTGTCCCAACCCCACAGGAGCTGAGTGCCAGGCCTCTGTCTGTCCCAACCCCACAGGATCTGAGTGCCAGGCCTCTGTCTGTCCCCAGCCCCACAGGATCTGTGTGCCAGGCCCCTGTCCCCAGCAGCAGCACCTCCCTGGGCTTTGCTGCCTCCCTGCTCTACCCCACCCCTCTGGCACAGCTCCCAGCCTGTGCCTGTGTGAGCACTCAGAGCTGCAGGGAGCCCTGGGGTCACCCAGCACTCTTTTATTGGCAGCAAACCCGTTCCTAAAGTTCCTAGAACAATTCCAGGGACTCTGGGTAGCCCCAGGGTGAGTTACTGGGGCACCAGCTCTGTTTATCAGCTGTGGCAATCAGCAGAGCACAACCCCCTTGTCCAGTTGTGGCTTTAATCTGGCTCTGGGTATGGTGGGAGACCACGACAGCCTTGAGGGACTGAGTCTTGAGCTCCTTCCCAGGTGCTCCTGCAAGTGTGGCTTGGGATAAATTGATGGGGAGAATGAAGTGTTGGGCTTGGGGCGGTTTTGCCCCTGGTGCTCCATTGCTGAGGGTCCCTGGGGAAATCAAACATCTTTATGAAGTTCTGCCCCATAATGTGATGGTTGAAACATATTCAGAGTGAGCAGTGGGATTTTGACCCTGTTTCTGTGCCTGTTTGCACCTTTTCTGTTCAGAGTTTGGAGTGAGAGACAAAGCCCACCCCATAAACCCCATAAATCCCATCAGCAGGGCCCTGCCTTGCTGGCAGCTCCCAGCAAACCCTGACCCCATAACACCTCCTGATGGGGCTGTTTGGGTCCTGGAGTTACCCCAAACTTTCAGGGAACGCTTGGATTTCAGCACAGCTGCTTCCTACACTCAGGGAAACACATGAGCTCCTCCAAGAGCCTCAGCACACCCAGGAAAAGAGCAAGGAGAAGGAAAAACGAGTTTTTGGGAGTGTTGTGGGGAGCAGGGTGGTCTTTGCACCAGCTGCTGTGGGTGGGAAACTCCCAGCTCCCCCCAGCTCAGGGCTGTGCTCATTCCCTTCTCTCTCTCTGGGTGCATCCGTGCCAAGAATAAATAAGGAAATTGCTCTTCTGCTCAGGCCTGCTGCTGCTCCTGCTTCCACTGCAGGGAGGGAAAGCTTTGCTGGAGTCAGCAACAGGTTTAGGCAGGCCCCTCTGCCCTCTGGACCTGCCTCTGCTGAAGAGCTGGAGCAGCTGAGTGTCCTCAGGGGGCTGAGGGGTGGGGAGGGGTTGGAGAATCCCTGCTGGTGCTGGGAAAAACCCAAAAAAGGGGACAAGCCCCAGATTTGCAGAGGCAGTGAGTGCTCTGGAGCCTTTCCCAGGTGATGCTCCTGTCTCAGCACCCCCTTGGGGGTGTGTGAGGGTGATGCTGGGACTGCTCTGCTGTGGGTCTTGATCCCTGATCCGAGCCCAAACCAGCAGAGCCCAGAGATGTGCCACGAACTCCTGGGCTGGGACACAGGGAGGGATTCCAAGCCTGGCACTGCTGAAGGAGCCATCCATCACCTTGTTTTTCTGCTGTCAGGAGCTGCCTCCCTCTGCTCCCCCCACACAAAGGCTGCTTCCCTGGTCCTCCTTGCTTTCCCTGGATCTCGCTGGTGCCTTGGGAAGGCTCAGGCTTGGCTGGGTTTGCTCAGCCAGGTGCTCCCAGGGAAGGTCCAGGCACAGGGACACTGGGCTCATCACAGCTTGGAGCATCATTAATTTTCCATGGTTTGGCAGCAGATCCAGGGAACAGACTCATCCTTAGCAGTGGTGCTTTGTGGATCTAAAAATCCAATTTTCAGTGCAAAGACTTTGTGTCTTCCCAGCAAGAAAAGTGGCTTTTGACCTGCGAGAACATTTCCTTGTTCAATAAAAGCTGGAGAAATTCCTGGCTCTTTGGGGGAGTGTGAAGTGTCCCCATGCTTAAAGAAACAGAAATATTTGCTCTTTAATGCATTTTTATGGAAAAGAATGAGCATGTCTACCTGCTCCTTTGCACACAGAAAGGTGTCAGCAGCAGCCTGCTGCTACAGGGGTGTAAAAACCAGAGCTGGGGGAATCACTCCTTCCAAATCCCATATTTGTTTGAGTTCTGCTGCTTTTCCCCGTCTGCTTCAGCCCACAAAATCCCCAGACTCATTCCTCATTCAGAGCAATTTGGGAAACAAAAACCCAACACCCTCCAAGAGCAATTTGGTCTCTCATTGATGACTCCGAGCCCTGGATTTGGCCGTGAAGGGCGTGGGAAGCTCTGCAGGAGCTGCTTGTCCCCAAAAATCCCTTCCTGAATTTTTTTTTAAGGGAATTTGCTCGGGGTTGTGGGGCTCAGCCTGGTGCTGCCAGCTTTGCTCAGGAGGCTGCTGGGCTCTAACCTGTCTGTTTTCTTCCCCGAGGCTGTGGAAAGTCACGGAGCCTGAGCATTGCTTGTCCCCAAAAATCCCTTCCTGAATTTTTTAAGGGAATTTGCTCGGGGTTGTGGGGCTCAGCCTGGTGCTGCCAGCTTTGCTCAGGAGGCTGCTGGGCTCTAACCTGTCTGTTTTCTTCCCCGAGGCTGTGGAAAGTCGCGGAGCCTGAGCAGCATAGACGGAGGAGCGGCGCGCCGGGCTCCGCTGGCCTCCCGCTGCAGCTCCCCCTGCTCCCTGCAGCACCCCTGCTCCCCCGTGCCCTCCATCCTCTAAAGGACCTCGGGGGTCCCTCTGCTCCCCACCACGCCGAGCAGCCCCAGCTGGGACATCTCCATCCCCCACGAGCTGGTTCTGACCCCCTCCAGTTCCTCCATCACGTCTCCACTGAGCTTGTCTGGTGCCCATGTGGATGGACAGTCCCTGGAGGAGGTGTTGGGGTGGTTTTCCCCCTCTTTGAAACCTTATTCATCCTAAATAAACCCTGCAATTCCCTCTGGTGTCGAGCCCTCCCTCCCGTGGGCCGTTTGTGTTGGGCTAAAGGGTGGTGGAAACACAAGGAGGACAAGTTGACTCATGAAATTATATCTCATTGTGCTGGGAATGGCTGAATTCATATATTTTTAGGTTTTATTTTGTTTGGTTTTTTTAAAAGCAGCCTCAAGTTTCTGGAGGCAACAGATGAATAAACCTCTATTCCCTGCCCAGCAGTGGTTCCCCTCTTGTTTTGTGCCTTTTTCTGCCTAAATCCTACATTCTTTTTCCTTCCAACCTTAGGATGGGCCTGAGGGCCTTGGAAACCAGCCTTGAGATGCCCTGGAGGCTGGAGGGCCCTGGGAGAGGGGTCAGGGAGCACACAGAGGCTGGGATATTAGGTATGGATACTCCCATGAGGAGCTGGGAAGTGGTGGCAAGAGGAATAAAGGTCCCTGGCAAAGCTGCTGCTGGTGTGGATTTGAGAGAGAGAGTTGAGGCAAAATGATGCCTAAATAGATAGGGGATGAATCCTTGTTTGGGGTGGACATGAGGTGGTGATTCCAGAGCATTCCCATGGGAATGGGAGCTGGGTTTGAGCCAGGCTCTCCCCATCCCTGTGAGGATGGGGCAGGAGAGTCAAACTCCCTGTGGAACTGCTGGTTTTTGCTCACCTGTATCGGTTTTTGGGATGATTTTGGATTATCTCAGGCGTCTTCCTGAACTAGAACGAACCCTTCACTCCCTGATCTCTGGCTCATTTCAGTTCTGTCCAGCTCAGCCTCCCTGGAGGGGTTTGGTGGCTGCAAGGGGCTGGTTTGGGGTATCCAGCCCTGCTCTTGAGTCCCCCTCGGTGCTCTCTTGGCCTCTTCCCTCACTCTGAGCAAGTCAGGGCTGGAGCCCGGGGACTTTTCTGGGGAGGAGAGCTTAGATTTGGATGTGCTTGAAGAGCAAAGAGCCCCAGGAGCTTTTCTGGGGTCAGACCCTTCCCCTCCATCATGGCCAAACTGGATCTGGTGCTCAGGGAATGGTGAGGTTGGACTTGATGATCTTGGAGCTCTTTTCCAACTTTAAGGATTCTGTGATTCCATGGTCCCTGCACCTGAAGGAAGCTGGGATGGATTTTGGCAGATCCCACAACCAGGACCCTCCTGCTCCACAGCAGGTTTCCCGTTGCCTCAGTTTCCCTTGGTGTAGAGGAGGAGATCCCAGGAGGAGCAGCCAGCACATATCCAAACTCTCTGAGTATACCTTCCTTCCTTCCTTCCTTCCTTCCTTCCTTCCTTCCTTCCTTCCTTCCTTCCTTCCTTCCTTCCTTCCTTCCTTCCTTCCTTCCTTCCTTCCTTCCTTCCTTCCTTCCTTCCTTCCTTCCTTCCTTCCTTCCTTCCTTCCTTCCTTCCTTCCCTTCCTTCCTTCCTTCCTTCCTTCCTTCCTTCCTTCCTTCCTTCCTTCTTCCTTCCTTCCTTCCTTCCTTCCTTCCTTCCTTCCTTCCTTCCTTCCTTCCTTCCTTCCTTCCTTCCTTCCTTCCTTCCTTCCTTCCTTCCTTCCTTCCTTCCTTCCTTCCTTCCTTCCTTCCTTCCCTCCCTCCCTCCCTCCCTCCTCCCTCCCCTCCCTCCCTCCCTCCCTCCCTCCCTCCCTCTTTTTTCCTTTCCTTTCCTTTCCTCTTTCCTTTCCTCTTTCCTTTCCTTTCCTCTTTCCCTCCCTCCCTGTCCCAGCTGTGCAGGAGCCAAAGGGAAGCAGAAAAGAGAAGAATTTGGTGCCTTGGGCTGGATCTTGGGGATGGATGACAGGAGCTGGTGCTGGAGGCAGAATTGTTGTGGATTTGGGGAGGAATTGGGATGAGCTGCATCCATCCTGTGCTCAGGATGTGCCATCCTGGGCTCTGGTGCTGATCCATCCCTCACCAGCAGCACCTGGGTTGTGTTGGGTGCAGCTGCATTCCTTGGGTTCCTGCAGCAATGGAGGGGTAACAGGGCAGGTTCATGAACCCCCCAAAATTCCATGAACTGGGCAAAGGGCTGGGAACAGCAGCACCATGCAGGTGCTTCCCTGGCTCATTCTTCCCTCTGGAAGGCAGGAGGAGCTGGAATATCCCCAGCCCCTATCAGAGGCAAGGCCACCCTCCATGGCTTCAGTGATGTTTGGGTCCTAAATGATTTATCCAAGGTCCTGAGCTGACTTTGGGGATGAGCCAGGTATGAAACCCTGGTTTTGCAGAAGAATCAGATCAAGGTGCTCAGACTTTAGGGTTTGAGTCTCTTGGAGGTAGAGGATTAAACCCAGAGCAGCCACAGATCCCAGCAGATCCTATCCTTGCCTTTGCCCTCTCAGCTCCAAGGCCAGAGTGGTTTCTTGGGGTGGAAAACCTTTGTGGACCCCCCAAAATCTCATCCCCACCAGAGCCAGGAGGGTTGGGCAGGAACTGCCACGGAGCTGGCAGGATGCAATTTTTAGCTGGGGCGTTATGCAACCCTGGAGAAGGGATGACTAATGTGCAAAAAGCTCCTCTAAAACAGCCCAGCCCCGAAAGGGAGATGGAGGGATTTCAGTGGGAGGCACCAAACTGCTGAAAAAGCCACCGCATCTTGTCCCTCTTCCTCCCCGCCTTCTCCTGAGCAGGATTTGGGGGATGCAGAGGGAGAAAACAGCTTGTTGTTATTTTTAGGTGGGGTCTGGGTTGGTTCTGGGGGCGACTTAGCACAGGTTAATCCCTGGGTAAGATTAGAAGAGGAGCTGTAGTGGATCAGAGCAGACCTGTAAATATCTCTGGAGGCCAGGTTTTTATCTCAAACAGTGGCCAAAATTGGCAGCCTGGAGAAGAGGACAAGAATAGAGCAGGAATATACGATACTTCCCCTGAATATCCTCGCAGGACTTATCTGTGTTTAGGGATCTGCTGGGAGCTCACGTTCCAGCCCAGGCTAAAGGCACCAAGAGAAAGCCAAGTTGTTGGATTTATTCCCAAAAAAATGCATAAATCCACAGGAGTTCAGCTGCCCCTGCCCGAGCCCGAAAATGGATTTAAAAAAAAAATAACATCAAGGGGTGTGCAGTGATTGTGAGGGCATGGCAGCATGGAAATGGGGGATGGGATGGGATGGGATGGGATGGGATGGGATGGGATGGGATGGGATGGGATGGGATGGGGTGGGATGGGATGGGATGGGATGGGGTGGGGTGGGATGGGGTGGGATGGGATGGGATGGGATGGGATGGGATGGGATGGGATGGGATGGGATCCATGGGATGGGATGGGATGGGATGGGATGGGATGGGATGGGATGGGATGGGATGGGGTGGGATGGGATGGGATCCATGGGATGGGATCCATGGGATGGGATGGGATGGGATGGGATGGGATGGGATGGGATGGGATGGGATGGGATGGGATGGGGTGGGATGGGATGGGATGGGATGGGATGGGATGGGATGGGATGGGATGGGATGGGATGGGATGGGATGGGATGGGGTGGGATGGGATGGGTGTGCTGGGTCTCGTTCCTGGCAGGGAGATGGGATTGAGCAGGAATGCAGGGATGAGCATTGGGTGTGTTATAGGAATGTGTCCCTCACCTGTGGAGCAGGGGATGTGTCCTGGTGGATGTGCAAAAGTAATCACAGAGTCAGGGAATTGTTTGGGTAGGAAGGGACCTTAAATTCCATCCCATTCCAGCTCCTGCCATGGCAGGGACACCTTCCACCATCCCAGGCTGCTCCAAGCCCCATCCAGCCTGGCCTTGGGCACTGCCAGGGATCCAGGGGCAGCCCCAGCTGCTCTGGGCCATCTGTCCTACGGCTTCCCCACCCTCCCAGGGACAGTGGGGTGCTCAGCAGTGTGGGACCCCACAGATCTCCAGTGCCCCATGTCCCTCTCCCCACCATGGGGACACGTGTGGTGCTCAGCAGTGGGGATGGGACCAGAGATGATGGAGCCATGGAGTGGTTGGCTTGGAAGGGCCATGGGACAGCTTCCTCTAGACCAGGCTGCTCCAAGCTCTGCCCAGCCTGGCCTGGAACACTCCAGAGGGGCTGGGTGACACCAGGCTGCCCTGCTGGGGTCCTCACATTCCTCTGCCCACTTTGGGACATGGGTCAGCACTTTGGGGCAAAGATTGAGTCCCTGTGACCACCCACCCCTGTGCAAGGAGCCAAACCAGAGCAGCCTTTGGCTCAGGGAGATTTGGGAGCAGCTCCCTGCCCCAGCCTCAGCTCCTTCCTTCTCTTTTCCCCCTGGAAGTCTCACAGTCCAGCACTGCATGGAGGCTGCACCATGATCCCAGCTTGCTTGCAAAGTATTAATTTTTATTGTTGCAACAACTGCTCTGTTTCTTGGGAGATGCCTGAGAGAGCTGAGGAAATAGAAAGGCCTGTCAGGCAGGCGGGCAGGAGGTGAAGATGTCAGGAGAGTAATTGCTCTACCCAGAAGGAGCCTGTTCCTGGCTTCCCCAGCTCTGCCAGGAAAAATCCTCACTGCTTATTTGATGACAATAAAGAAAAACAGAAAATAAATAGCAACCCCATGGCTTGCCCGTGCTGAGGAGGAACAGGGAGAGCAGAGGCAGATGCAAAATAGGATGCAGAGGAGCTTATAAATAGGAGCCTCCCAGCTCCCAGTCTGTTACTTCCTTACCTCCACCCGGGCAACTGAGCCCAGCATTTTACCCATGGAAAAGGTAAATGGGGGCTCAGAAAGGATCTGTGAGCTCCTAGGAAGGGGGTGACACTTCCTCCTCTGTGGGACAGGCAGGGCCAGGGCACCTGCTCACATTCCAGGCTAAAGGCACCAAGAGAAAGCCAAGTTGTTGGATTTATTCCCAAGAAACTGCATAAATCCACAGGAGTTCAGCTGCCCCTGCCCAAGCCCGAAAATGGATTTAAAAAATAACATCAAGGGGTGTGCAGTGATTGTGGGGGGCATGACAGCATGGAAATGGGGGATGGGATGGGATGGGATGGGATGGGATGGGATGGGATGGGATGGGATGGGATGGGATGGGATGGGATGGGATCCATGGGATGGGACGGGATGGGATGGGATGGGATGGGATGGGATGGGATGGGATGGGATGGGATGGGATGGGGTGGGATGGGATGGGATGGGATGGGATGGGATGGGATGGGATGGGATGGGATGGGGTGGGATGGGATGGGTGTGCTGGGTCTCGTTCCTGGCAGGGAGATGGGATTGAGCAGGAATGCAGGGATGAGCATTGGGTGTGTTATAGGAATGTGTCCC